AGAGAGAGAGAGAGAGAGAGAGAGAGAGAGAGAGAGAGAGAGAGAGAGAGAGAGAGAGAGAGAGAGAGAGAGATTTACCTCTTGTTCTGAAAGACGAGACAATAATATGTACTAAAGTATCCTGCCTCTGAATTAAAGCAAAATTCTCTGTCTATCTGTTTCTTGCTGAAGAAACAGGTATACTTACAGACGTCAAACTATTGTAACATTACACATTAAACAATTACCTGGCAGGGATCCTCAGTTGAAAATTAAAATCTTTATACACATATATATATAAAATACCAACTGAATAAACCTGCAAAATTTGATACACTCTAATCCCTAGACTCCAGAGAAGGTTTTGCTATCGAACTGTAGCATGTGACTAACTGCTAGGGATAAAGCCTTAACCTACAGCAACGGTTCTAGTATATATGAGGCATTAAATAGTTCACTTTGGTTCTTCAATTTGTCCTTTAATGAGATCTGTCATGACAGGATATTGGACTTTCTTCTTATTTAGTTCATCTTGGGCCCAGAGAAGCAGCTTCAGAAGTTCGGCTAAAAGAGGTGTTGTTTCTTCTTGATTCTGTGCTCTGAGGATTGCAGCATTCAGCTCACTTGCAACCTTATTTGGAATAAAAATAAATAAATAAATTAATTAATTAAATAAAGATAAATAGAAGTCAAGAAGAAAATCAGGGTTGAGAAGCACCTGTAAATATTTAAAAGTTAAAATGCATTTCCTCACATAACAGTAGACTTTACATATCATCAATGGAAGTCCAAACACCAAAAATACAACCAATTCGTTCTTACCTTCTGTCTATGAGATGGATGAAGGAGGTCTCCAAAGGGGGAAGTGTCGGGCTGGTCAAAGGCTAAAAGTGCTAAAGTTCTTTCGAGTTCATTAAGAATGGTTGGGTCCCTCTGTCCTCTCTCTGCGAGGTGATCTTGTGCATAAACGACAGCTTCTTCTATCCTTCCCTCACGAATTAATTCAATCAAAACTTGTTGCTGTTGATGGAAGACATCATTGTATTCAATTCAACCAAGAAAGAACATACAACCACCTTACAACATCCATTCACCAGCCTATGCACGATAAAATACATTTGTACCTGAAGATGGAAGTACAGTTGAGAATTATCATCTAGAATTTCTGGGTGGAGTTCGGTGACCATCCTCATGGCATCTTGAAAGTGGCCTGCTTGAATGGTTGAGCGAATGCGAATCCTCTCATCCAGCTGATCGAGGTCCATGGGTGGCTTGATGTTTGCCTCGACTGAAAACTTCTCTGCCGCTTCTTTGAAACCCTCTGGAAATTGTACATATGGTAAGACTCTGATTCTTAATAATGAAGTTGTTATACCTGCATGTGATAGAAGTCTCTGACAATGATTTATTCAGGAAAGGGGTTGAATCTACACTATAAATTCCCTTTGTGAATTAAAAGATTTTTATCAAAAGTCTATTTATATGAGCAAAGTGAGTAAATTTTCAAAAAGAACTTACTGTATTTTACTTAAAATATCAAGGAAACTATGAATCCTGATGAAACCTGATGATCATGTGATCATTGTGGAATGTTTGTCTGGGAAGTTGTATAGAAACAAAAGAAAAAAAGTATCCTGATGTTCATAATTCTGTTGCCAATTAAGTCCCTAAAGAAGCAATACCAAAACATGATATATTGAGGTAACCCAGACCCTGAGTCCCAGGTATCTTCTTCATAGATAGAAGACCCCCACGAACACTCTTCTTGTGGAAAGAATGCAGATGATGATGATTCTGTGCCACTGACCCATGATAGACACCACCAATAGCAGTAGCAATAAAAATTAGGACAAGCTCAATTACATTGCAATGACACATGACTTGTCAATGATCTCAGATATGCTTTTATTCAACAACAGGGACTGAGCCTGAACAAAGAAGACCCTTAGACAGGTGCAAGGCTTTCTCATGAGAAAGAGGGAGAATGTCCCACTTCATTATGGGTGTTTGCTTTTTGAGGAAGAGGGTTTTCTTTGTGGGAGGAAGGGAGAATATCCCAGCCCACTTTGGGTTTTCAAGGAGGACCTCTCATATTCATCAAGTCTTAATTACTAATGCTCTGATGACTACCATCTTGCAGGAGACCAACGGCTCTGCTGAAGCCCACTCCACCCTCCTCCAAAGTACAGGAAAGAAAGCGTACTGTGGTGACCATCAAAGTACCACACATTTAATTTACCCTCTGTCTTCTGATAGGGTTTGTAAGGAAGATGGAAATGAAGCAACACTGGTTACTGGATACCAGCTTCCCCTGACACGATGTCAAGGGACCATTTCATCCACATCTTTGGCTATTTGCATTTCCACAACAAAGAGTCACATGATGAAGCAGTTCACCTGTGGATAGTGGGACAAGTTATTGACATCCTGAGCAAGCAGTTCCCAACAGTCTTCAATCTCCTACCAGAAGATCACAGTGGATGAGTTCCTGTGGAGGTTTAGGGAACAATTGCAGTTTGTCACCTGCAATTCATCCAAGATTATATCTACAGTGTTCATGAAAAGAGCAGAGCAACTATTGCAAGTACAGGAAAAAAGCTTCTATCCAAATTTTGTGAGGTATACCCCAAAACATTTTCATATGTCAGTCACCATCATGCAATTCCTCAGCAGACTCTTATTTCAGAGCCATGTTCTTTTGCCTCAGAGCTTCTTTGGCTTTTTATTTTTTACCATTATCCCTTTACAAATGATTCAAGAGTTACTTTCTCTGTCAAAATCACCCCATAAAGATGCGGCTGATGAATGTGCCAGTTTTTACCTTGATCATTGTGATAGACACCTTTTATACTGAATGCCCCTTTCCCATATCTAAATATGATATGTAAAAACTAATGAATCAGCATACAGATTGTTTACAATGAAACATAAAATCCACTTGGCATTTTATAAAGCATTGCCTTCTCTTTCCACTAAGAAATTTATGTTATATACATTTACCATACACATACATATACAACATCAATTATATCAATACCATCACCATTACCATTACCTACATGTAAACAATAGCAACACAAGACCAATAACTGACCCATGACGAGGTAGTTCATAATTAGCTTGTTCATGTCAGCGCGGTGGATGTGCATCTTTCCCGTCTCTTCCAGCCACTCAGACGTATCCATGGCTTTGACGCCGTTGTTGGAGCCACTCTGGTCAGTATCGCTATCCACGTTTGTTCTCATAAACCTGCGGGAGATGGATCCCTTTATCGAGGAATCCTGGGATTCTTTTACTTTTTTTTATTTATAAATTTTGTTTCCTGTTGTTGAATTCATAAGTAGTCTGTGGAGGGAGGGATGTGTATACTTTTTTGGTTTTCTTTAAAAAATTTTGTGAATTGGAATTCACATTATTATTTCATAAGGGGAAACCTATACAATGAAAATGTTCTAAATCACACATGAATTTGATATTTTTTTTTTCTTTTCCTTACTGATTCAAGATAGTGATAATAATAATAATGCAAATACTAATTAACTAATTAATAACAATAATAATAATGATAATAATAAAAAAGTGAATCTAATATGAATCATCCCATAAATATTCTTGTCATTATTTTCTTTTAAGCATATAAAAAATGAAGCTAATATTATGTAACACAGCACTGGAGTACTGCCACAATAAAAGATAATTCAATCATAATTTAAGATAGCATTTTAAAAAATATTTGCCTATTGAATGCTACATGTAACATGTTCATTTTGGTAAACATTTCAAAGACACTCGCAAATCCACCTTAGCCTTTCACCAGCTTATACACCTGCTGGCACTTTGTGATAAGCCAAGGAATCACAACTACATATAGTCTAGTATTAAAACAGCTTGTGGATATCGCCAGTGATTAATCGTAAAATAAGGAAGCATTCATAGCTTTCTCTTGATGGAACATATATGGTGGAGGTTTGTTGGCTTTTGCTGGAACATGTGATTGCTTGAAATTATGGCTCTATCAAGTTGCAGTTTAGACTACTATTACTTCAACCTTTTGATGTGATAATTTTTAAAATTGCTAATTCCTCTGACTACATAATATTCCTATAAAAAAATATATATATATATATATGTTTCTAAGAATGAAATACACTTCTTTTCTCTATTAGCCGAGGTTTGTGCTGTTCCTCAGAAATTGCCCTATTGCTTTTCCTGTCCTGTTTTGAATGGACCAAGATGATTAGGGTCTTTGCCATTACAACTAAAAGGACCTTATATCTTAACGCTCTCTGGAAAATAATCTTTTTGCGCTTGTTGGTAGACCAAATTTCAGCTGATATGTACACTTTTTGCAGTCAAAAGGCTAAATTCTACAAAAACATAAATAATTCAAGACTAAATGCACAATGGTGGAGAAAAAAAGTGATAGAAAAATAAATGTTTACATTATCAAGGATGAAAATATTAGAAATTAATACATTATCATATATTTTCTCAAGACATTTAACTGCATCTTTACATCTATATTCTCCTTTCTTGAGCCTAATCACCAAAAACAAACACTTTTCAATAAATACATCTATTTTATCAGAACAATCAGCACATCATTTCATAAAACAATTGAAAACAAACCTTGCCTTTGTTTCACTCTAGGAAATAATCACACACATGAAATATTAATTTTTCTGTACACTACATCCTAGTTCTAACACAATCCAAGAAGAATAACGGTGGTATCTTACTCTAGTTTGACGTAGGAAGACAAAAAATAAGTTTCAATAAAGATACACTAGGAAGGTCAGGCAGCCTCGGACACCACATTCGAATCTGGTTTATTTTTGAAAAGGCATCATTTACCCATTAACAAATTAAATATCGTTGTTTCTAAGGAATCCAAATGCTTAGTGTTCGTTTGTTCTATACTTTGGTATTTCAATTTTGGGGTTATTTTAGGTTGATGTTCTTTTAAAAAATACAATGTTTAATTGCGAAGGCTGGCTATGTTTTGGGTATTTCCTTCGTGT